CTGGGGACAGTGATATATACGGCACGTCTCTAGGCTGCCCCGGGCCACCCGTCTGCCCGCGATTGTATCGGCCTCAAAACGATCCCGGCACGATCCATCGCATCTCCGCGCGCGTATCTGCCTCATCACGATCATCGCCGCGTAATTTTTGGTTCAACGTTTCATGTGGCGTGTTCAAGTGCAGAGGCTGCCCGACAAGTCGGGAATGCGCGCCCCACGCGGCATGCGCCCCGAAAGAAGCAAACCAGCATGGGCGCCGCGGCCAGCACGAAGGAGGACCACCACATCGCGGCGACCGTCGACGTGCTCCGCGCCCAGCAGATGGCGCACCGCTCGACCTACGCCGCCAAGGTCGGGCTGTTCCAGGGCCAAAAGGCTGCCAAGCACCTGGAGCAGGGCGACGTCATGGACCTGCCGCTGCCGGAGCTCCGCGAGCGGCTGCGGCGCGTCTTCGCCGACGAGCCGGACCAGCTCGAGGTCTTGCTGCAGCTCCTCGAGACCGCGGGCGAGGACGCGGGCGCCGTGCGATCGCGCCTCGCGGAGCTCGGCCGCCGGCCGCCCGCGCGGGCGCCCGCGGGCGCGTGCAAGCGCGCGCGCGCGCTGGAGCGCCTCGCCGCGCGCCTCGGCCCCGCGGCGGCGCGCGAGCTCCTCGAGGCGGCCGTCGCGCTCCGCGCCGCGGCGGACGGCCCGGACCACCCGCGGACGCGCGCGACGCGCGTCGCCCTCGAGCGCGCGGCGGCGGCCGCTCCGGACGCGGCGGCGATGACGTGGCTGCCGCCCTGCGGCGGGTAGGCGCTCCTTTGTAAGATGGCCCCTGTAGACACTTCGACACGGTGCGCGGACGCGTACGGAGACGACGCGTACGTACGGCCCGGCGCACGCGCCCCGGGGCCGCGGCGCCAGTTGGGCTTGTTCGGACTGAGCCGCACCGCGCCCGTCGTTGGCAGCTCGCAACTCGCGCCGACGCGCTCACGCCGCTCCGCGAAACTCGCGCCGACGCGCTCACGCCGCTCCGCGACGCCGACGCGCTCGCGCCGCTCCGCGACACGATGGCCGCCGCAGCCTTCGACGCCGCCTACCTCGCGGCCTACCGCGAGAAGTGCGACGAGTACGCGGACGCGCCGCCGTCGAAGCCCCTGTCGCCGGCGCGCGTGCGCGCGGCGATCAACAAGGTGCTCCAGGAGACGGACGTGAAGATCGGCGACATGCAGAAGCTCCTGGGCGTCAACGCCAACACCTGGGGCAAGTTCATGAAGAACGAGTACAAGGACAAGACCTGGGGCGCGACGCAGTCCGGCACGTACTGGGCGGGCGTCAAGTTCTGCTACGCGGAGAAGGCGCTCGGAACGCGGTCGCTGCTCAAGACGCGCGCGCGCGGCGGCGGCGCCGCGGCGGCCGGCGGCGGCGCGGCGAAGCCCGACCTGCCGGACCTCGCGGGCGTCGACGTCGTCGACGCGGTCTTCGAGACGCCCGGCGAGGTGCGCAAGTCGCTCCGCGCGGCGCTCTCGACGTACAAGACGTCCGTCGCGGAGCTCGCGCGCCTCGCGGGCGTGCCCTACCAGTCCTTCAACAACTTCATGAAGGCGAGCGGCTCCCACGGCGGCTCCGAGAACCAGGCCTACCGCCCGGCGGCCAGGATCAGCGAGAAGCTCCGCGTCAAGACGGCCAAGGCCAAGACGAAGAAGCGCAAGGCCCTCGAGGCGGAGATGGACGCGAACCCGGGCCGCGCGCCGTTCCTCGGCCTCGACCCGAACAAGAAGTACTGGGCCCTGCCCGGCGCCGCCTTCGCGAAGGACGCCGTCGGCCGCACCACCATCACCTACGGCCCGCTCTGAGCCTTCTGTCCTCAATATGACAATAAAAGCCTCCCGTACCGTGACTCCTTAATCCCACCACCGCGCGACCTCGTCCACGATCGCGCGCGCCGCCCGATCCACGTCGCCGTCGGCCGTCGTCGGCAGCTCGACGACCCAGGGCTCGCGCGTCGACGCGTCCGCCGACGACCGGTCCCGCGCGCGCGCGCGGTCGTAGCCCGGGTCGTAGTGGTCCTCGAGCATGGCCTCGACGAAGCCGTCCCAGTCCTCGGCGTCGACGAAGTCGTTCCACCGCGCGACGGCCTTCTTCCCCGCCGTCGGCGCGCAGAAGTCCAGCAGCCGCCGGAGCTTCTCCGTGCCCGCGCCGCCGTCTTCAAAGTGCGCGTAGCCGCGCCGGATCCACTTCACGCGCTCGTTCATCGGCAAAACGACTTCGACGACCGGCGCCGACGCGAGCCGCTTGAAGACGGGCCGCGGCACGTCGAGGCGCCCGACTTTCGGCGATTCCAATTCGACGAAGACGGGCTTGTCGCCGTCGAAGCCGCGGATCGCGTCGTAGAGCGCGCTCTCGAAGCCCTTTTGCGTCGGCTGCTCCGCGCCCGGCAGGGCCCCCAAGATGCTCCCGCGGTGGCGCGCGAGGCCCTCGAGGTCGACGACCTGGGCGCCCAACGCCTCCAGGGCGTCCAGGACCTTGCCCTTGGCGCTGCCCGTCGCGCCGCCGACCGCGACGCACCTGCGCAGCAACGCCGGTGCCTGTGTGCAAACCAACCGGTGAGCTGGGACGTCGGGGCCAAACTTTAGAAATCTCTCGCTCGGTCAAGTCGATTCGGCTGATTTTTTGACGAATCGATTGCTCTCGTCGAGTGTTCTACGGAGATCGGAACAAGTTGCATCGAAACCGTCGCATACGCTCACATTGAAGTCGGGTTGAAGATTTGATGTCCACACAGGCCGGCGCGCTTCCTCCGTAGAGCGCCTCGCGGACGCGCGCGCGGTAGGCCTTGTAGCCGCCCTCGAGCTGGGCGACGTGCCAGCCGACGCGGCTCAGGGAGTGGGTGAGCGACCCGGACCGGTCGCCGCCGCGCCAGCAGTAGACCAAAATCCGCGACTCCTTCGGGAGTCGCGCGACGCGGTCGTCGCCGAGGATGCCCGCGAGGCGCGCGGCGACGAGCGACGCGCCGCGCACGCGCGCGTCGAAGGGGCTCGACGCGTAGAGCGTGCCGACCTCCGCGCGCTCCGCGTCGTCGAGCACGGGCAGGTTCACGGAACCGGGCACGCGGTCCTCCTCGAACTCGGACGGCGACCGCGCGTCGACGACGAGGTCCCACTCGTCGGCTTTCACGGCGTGGGGCGCGTCGTAGAGCCAGATGGGCCGCGACGGGTCCGAGCTGGCGCTGATGCGCTCGCCCTCGATGCTCGCGACCCGGCCGCGGCGCGGCGGCAAGCGCGGGCGGGTGTGGCGTGTTCGCGGCGGGAGCGTCTGGTGGCGCAGCCACGCGTGCGTCGTCGGGACGGCGAGGCTTAGGAGAACGAGCGTCGATTGGTGCATGGGTGCTGCGTAAATGGCTGCTGCAGAAGCAGGGCTCAGGCCTTCATCGTCGTCGTCGTCGACGGAGTTCAATGTTCAAGACGTCGGTGCAAGAAACTCCACATTCGGCACTTTAGTGCGTGATGGATTGCTAAAAGCGAGCTGCGAATCGATTAAAAACAACAGGGGCTGCTAAAAACGACGGGATGCAGACCCTCCCCACGGACACGCAGAAACTCCTGGACAGCAAGCACGAGAACTACGCCGACGACGCGCTCCGCGCCCACACGGACCCGCTGGGCCTGCGCATCAAGAAGCGCATGCCCGCCCTCCTCGTCACCCTCTCCATCGAGATGGTCAACGCCGCCGTCATCAGCTGCTACACCCACGAACTGGAGAAGTACCCGCTCCTCGTCTGCTTCATCCCCGTCATCTCCGCGCTGGGGGGCAACGTGTCCTTGCAGACGTCGGCGATCACGACGCGGGCCATCTCCCACGGCCTGAGCACGGCGGGCGACGAGGCGGCGGTCACGCGGGCCATCTTCCACGAGTTCTCCGTCGCCGCGGCGCTCTCGGCGATTTTGGCCATTATTTTGGCCATCATCGCGGCGACGTGGCGGTCCATCCAAAGGGGCAACGCGGCGCTGGGCTTCGGCTTCGTCGTCGGCGCGTCCATGCTCTTCGCGTCGTGCCTCGGCGGCTTCGCCGGCGCCGCGACGCCCCTGCTCTACCGGCGCCTGGGCATGGACCCCGCGTCGAACGCGGGCCCCCTCGACACGGCGCTCCAGGACGTCCTCGCGAACTCGGCCTTCCTCGCCGCCGCGGGCGCCCTCATCTCCTTCTTCGGCTACTAAGCATCGTAACAACCTCGCGTCGTACAGCCTTGCGGGCGCCCTCATCTCCTTCTTCGGCTACTAAGCATCGTAACACCCTCGCGTCGTACAGCCTTGCGGGCGCCCTCATCTCCTTCTTCGGCTACTAAGCATCGTAACACCCTCGCGTCGTACAGCCTTGCGGGCGCCCTCATCTCCTTCTTCGGCTACTAAGCATCGTAACAACCTCGCATCGTACAGCCTTGCGGGCGCCCTCATCTCCCTTCTTCGGCTACTGAGCAGCGTAACACCCTCGCGTCGTACACACTTACTTCGCGGCGACGTCCATGATGAGCGCGGTGCCCGCGAGGATCCACTTGGCCGCCGCGGCCTTGGTCTTGAGCGGCGCGGAGAAGACGTAGGTCGGCCCGCGCCGCAGGTGCTTGTAGCAGGGGCAGTAGTAGACGTTGGACTCGACGCGGTCCGAGGGCGCGGCCTTGCAGTTGATGACGGGCATGGCGCAGGTCATCTCGCCCGCGGCCGACGGCTCGAGCATCGTCGAGTTCAACGACCAGCGCGCGCCCTCGAGCGCGAGGCCCGAGATGTAGGCGCCGTCGCGCGACGGCGTCGAGAACTCGGACGGGTCGAGCTTCTTCGTGACCTCCGTGGCCACGGACAGCTTGTCCAGTTCCAAATTCTGCGCCTGCGCCGTCGTCTGCATCACCGCCGTGAGGAACGACTCCGGGTTGAAGAGGCCGCTGAGCCACGTCACCACGGGGATGTCCGTCGGCGCCGCGCACCAGTCCCGGAGCTGGCCCAACCGCACCTGCAGGTTCGCGAGCCAGGGCGTGAGGAACCGAATGGACGGGTACGCGACCTTGGCCCACTCGCCCGGCACGCGGTCCAGGAACAGCGCCTCCTGGAGCGCCTCCATGGACTCGGACATGGTCAGCTCGCCCCGGAACCCGAGGTCCAGATCCTCGAGACTGGAGATCATCTTCAGCACGAGCGCGTTCATGAGCTCGCACTCCTGGAGGAACACCGTGTGGTAGGGCCCCGGCTCGTCCAGCAGGCTCAGCACGTTCTCCACGTCAAAGGTCGCGTCGCGGTGCTGCTCCAAGATGTCCTGGAGCATGGCCTCGGCGACGTTCTGCTCGCTGGACCCCTCCTCGCCGCCGCCCGACGCCGACGGCGACAGGTCGATGATCGCCAGACAGAGCTGCTCCGACTGGTCCGTGCGGAAGCCGATCTCCGCGTTCGGGTGGAACCCAAAGGCCAGGGGCGAGTCGCCCTCGAGCTGGGCGTCGATGTGCTCCAGCACCTTGTCGTGGGAGATGGACGTCTGCGGCGCGTGGAAGTAGTCCAACTTGACGTCCGGGTACGGGTACATGTCCATCTCGTCGAGCATGTCGTCGCGCATGAAGAAGTGGAGGTACTCGGCGCACACCAGCCGGTCGAAGTCGTTGACGATGTGGCCGCCGTACATGATCTCGCCGAAGAGGTACCGCAGGTCGTCCCAGGGCACCTTCGTCGGCGCGTTCTCCATGTAGTTCCGTAGGACGGACGCCGACGACGTCAGGTCCCCGACGGAGAACGGGTAGTGCATGTTCGTGCCCTGGGGCCCGAACTTGCGCCGCTCGAGCATGACCGCGTGGAAGTGGCAGAGGCCGAACAAGATGCCCCGCGTCCGCGGCTCGAGCTCCTCGTAGTCCTCCCGCGTGAACGTGCAGAAGGCCTGCTTGATGTTCGCCTTGAGGCCGGACGGCGGGTCCGACGTGAGCTTGATGGACCGATCCAGGATGCCAATCGGGATCGTCTTCGTCGGGTCGCTGCTCAAAAAGACGCGGAACGCCGCGTGGCTTCCGTGCTCCTGGAACTCGTCGAGCAATTTCTCGACGTCGCGGAGCCACCGGGGCATGAGGTGCACGTTGTTCAAAATGACCCAGTGGCCCAACCGGTGCGCCGTCTCCAGCTTCTCGCGCGCGATGATGTCCTGGCCCTGGCCGAGGGAGATGTTGTGGTACGTGACGTCGCGCTCCATGCCGTCGCGCTTCGCGAGCTTGTCCACGTCCGCGACGACGTTCGCGCCGGGGCTCAGGATGAAGTAGATGGGCACGCTCGGCGACGCGTCGTCGAAGGCCTGCTCGAGCACGCCGAAGCTGTTGCTGTCCGCGTCCAGGTCCGTGTAGTTCGCGCCGGACGGCAGCGTGTTTCGCACGAAGTGCGCGAGCGCGGACGTGAGGCGGTCCGGCCGCAGGCAGCGCACCACCAGCAACTTCTGGAAGGGCCGCCGGTCCAGGTCGCGCCAGTCCAGGGGCAGCTTCTCCGTCTCCGGCGTCACCGCGTTGAACCACTCCAGGAACCGCGGCGCGGAGTCCTCGAGGTCGCTCGGCAATTTTTCGAAACCCGTCAGCGAGCTCAACGCCTGGACCATGCCCCAGGCCGCCTCCGTGACCCAGGGCGCCGGCGGGTCCTCGCCGCCGGACCGCGGGCCCCGGAGCAAAAAGGCCAACCCCTCGGGCGTGTAGCCCGCCAACGCGGAGATTTTGGCCCAGGGCCCCGACCCCTGCTCGCCGTCCTCCGACGTCTGGGCCAGGCCCTGCTGGAGGAGGCCGATGGTGAGCTGCACTAAAAAGACGAGGCGGTGCTTCTCGAAGAGGCCCCGGCTCACCCACTGGAAGATCGTCCACCGGACGCTCGAGAGGAGCGCGTCGACGCGTTTTTTGGGATCGTCGGACATGCCGCCGCGCTCCATGCCGTTGTGGAAGAAGGTCGTGAAGGACGCGAGCGAGTACTGGTACGAGTACTCGATGCGGTTCAGCTTGAGGAGCATGAAGTAGAGCACGGACGCCTCCGCCGCGACGGGCCGGTAGATCTCGCGCGCCTCGTTGATGCCCTCCTCGGTCTGCTTGCCCTTGATGACGGCCTGGTTGATCTCCGCCGCCGTCGCCTTGGTCGTCTCCAGGCCCTCGATGAGGGGCACGTCGCTCAATATGTCCGCGGGCGCGTTCGCGAGCTTGTAGAGCAGGTCGTCCTCGAGGGACTTGAGCTGGATCTTGTAGCGGTTGAAGGCCTGGACGAGCTCGTTCTTCTGCTTCTCGAGGTCCGGCTGCTCCCGCGACACGACCTTGGCCAGGAGCTGCTCCTCGAGGCCCCCCTCCGTGACGATGAAGTTGATGAGCGTGCACTGCGCGGCGATCTCGGGCTTGTAGTGCGGGTTCGCGAGGCGCGTCTGGAGGTAGAGCCGGAAGTCCGGGTCGTACTCGAGGTCCTCGCCGCCCATGCGGATGAAGAGCGTGCGCCCCTTCCGGACGACGGCGCGCGAGAGCACGGGGTCCATGACCGCGTCGATGGACTGGCCCAGGTTCTCGATGATGGCGACGTGGCCCAGGCGGATGGCCTCCGTGACCTTGAAGACCCAGTTCTTCTCGCCGAGCTGGAGCTGCGTGATGCCCGTGACCGCGGCCGCGGGCGCGGCCGCGGCGGGCGCCGCGTCGTCGCCCTCCGCGGGCGCCTCGGCGCCGTCGCCCGCGGCGTCCTCCGCCGGGGGCTTCTTCTTGCCCCGGGACAGGCGCGCCTCCTCGTGGGCGCGGATCCACTTGAGGCCCTGGAGCTGCGGGTCGATGATCAGGGGCCACCGGTTGCAGTTCGTGATGATCGCGCCGTTTTCGATGGAGATGCGGTCCGCGGGCAGGCCCTCGTTCATCCACTCCGCCGTCTTCGCCTCCGTCGTCAGGAGGCGCATGGGCTCGATGCCCTCCGTGAGCGGGATCTCGCGCGACGCGAGGTCCGCGATCCAGTAGTCCTTCGTGAGCATGGACCGGAACTTCGACCCGAAGGCGCCCACGTAGGACACGAACGCCGCCGAGAGGAGCACGTCGCCGACGAGCGTGCCCTCGACGGACCGCAGGTGGTCGATCTCCAGGCCCCAGCGGTCGTACTCGCTCGCGAGGCCCGACGTGAGCCGCTCCGCGAGCTGGAGCCGCTCCTGGCACTCCTTGGCGACCTTCTCGACGGCGGCCTTCTCCTGCGTCGCCGACAGGAACTGGGCCTGGAGCTTGTTCAGCGCCGCGTCGATGACCGCGAGCTTCTCCTCGACGACGGCGAGGTCCTTCTCCGCGGCGCGCTTCGTCTCCTGCGCCTGCTCGAGCTGGTCCATGAGCGGCTTGACTTTCTTGTAGACCTGGTTGAAGGTGATGATGTTCACGGCCCAGTTGCACAGGTTCGCCGCCGCCGCGGACTTGGTCTTCATCTTCTCGTAGGAGAAGTTCGGGTCCGCGAGGTACGGCTCGCAGCGGCGGACGATGTCCGGGTCGATGTCCTCGCCGCGGAACGCCTCGAGCTGCTCCTTGAAGGCGTCGACCTTGGCCATCATCTTCTTCGCGTTGTCCCAGGTGAAGTTCTTCTTCTCGTTCTTGATGAGGATGAGCAGCACGGCCGTGACCTTGTCGACGCCCGCGGGCGGCTTCGAGAACGACTTGAGCTCCGTCATCGACGCCTTGTCGAGGCAGTTGACGGCGTCGAGCGCCGCGTCGAGCGCGGGCTTCGCGAGCGCGAGGTCGCCGGCCGCGCGCTCCTCGATGTTCCTCGCGTCCTGCGCGGCGAGGTCCGCCTTCGCGCGCTCCTTGTCGGCCTCGGCCTGGGCCTCCTCGGCCTCGCCGCGCTGGCGGCCCATCTTCTCGAGGAAGACGTCGCAGGCGACCTTCTTCTCGTCGACCTCGAGCATCTTCACCTTGAGGTCCGCCTGGAGCCGGCTCACGTCCTCGTTCGTCGTTTTTAGAGTGGTCAGGCCCGTGTCGAGCCGCGTGATCATCGCCGTCATCTCCTCGCGCCGCGTGGCCAACAGACTCTTGTAGAAGTTGATGAGCTCGAGGAACGACGTGGGGGTGACGTAGTTGTAGCGCTTCTCCGACTCGAAGTACATCTGCGACACGGTCCCGACGGACGAGTGGACCTCCGCGACGTGGTGCGCGATGTTGTCGCTGACCTCCGGCGTGCCCAGGTCCACGGACTCGAGGAAATACTGGGCCACGGACACGAGAGCGTCCTTGGGCCAGGGGTGGAACCAGTCGATGGACGTGCAGTTGATCAGCCCCGGGAACTTGCGGCTCCGGACGCGGAAGAGGTCGCCGATGGGGCTGAAGCAGAGCACGACGTGCAGGTTGTGGCAGACGCGGTCGATGAAAAACTCCATCATCGAGTCCGACGTGTCCGGGATGCCCGCGGCCTTGGCCGCGTTGCGCAGCTGGCCGAAGATCGCGTCGTACTCGTCCCTCGTGAACAAATCCGGGATCACGCCCGACGCGAGGAGGTCGTTGATGTAGACCAGGAACCGCTCGTCGACGATCTGCGAGTCCGTCAATATAAAAGTCAGCGGCTCCGCGGGCTTGACGCCCGCCTTGCGGTACAGCTCCTTGAGCTCCTCCTTCAAATCCGAGACACCGTAGGACGACGTCACCGCGACCTGGACGACGCCGTGGCCGCAGATGAAGGACGCGAGGCGCGCGAGGGACTGCTTCCCCGAGCCGCCGACGCCCACCAGCAACGCGTTGCCCCGGGGGAAGCCGACGATGCGCGCGATGCGGACGACGTGCATCATGGCCTGGTCGAAGAGCACCAGGTTCATGATCGGGTTCGACTCGTTGTACTCCTTGAGCTGGTCGTTCAACGTCTTGCGCAGCGACTCGAGCGACTTCACCGGGAGATAAACTTTGGAATCGTCCATGGTCGGCGTCGCGAAGGTCGTCCAGGCGTTGGGCTCCTCGAACAATTCCTCCGGGTTCTCGTCGAGGCACCGCTTCGCGACGTCGACCAGAATGTCCTGGCACCGCGAGATCTCCGTCGACGACACGAGGCGGTCCGCGTAGACGCGCGCGCACTCGTGCATCCAGAGGCGCGCCAGGGGGAGCGACGTGCGCGTGTACTGGGCCTTGGACGCGCACAGCCCCTGGAAGACGGCCGCGAGGTCGCGCATGTTGAAGTTGTAGTGGAACTTGATCGCGCTCGGCAGGAACCGCACGGCCATCTCCTTGTGGACGCTGAGCGTCGCGTCCACCAGAGGCTTGGCGATGCGCGCCGCCGCCGGCGGGAAGTCGGCGCCGACGTGGTTGTCTAAAATGGACTGGTAGATCATCGCGAGGTCCACCTCCGACGACGACTGGCAGCCGAACGCCGTGAAGTGGCGCTGCAATCGCGGATTCACGGAGAAGGACCCGGCCTTGTGGTTCATGGCGCAGATGTACTGGCAGTCTAAAATCATCTTCCGCAATCCTAAATCCGTGCGGTCGTACCACGAGTTGTAGTCCGCGTGCATGCGCATTAGAGCGATGGGCGTCTGCGTGCCGTACTCCTCCACAAAGGGCATGTTCAGGTCGTCGACGAAATAGATGAGCGACTTGCCCGCGGGCGGGCCGTAGGACTTGCCGCTGCGCTTCTCGATGGGCTGCTCGAGCTGGCGCTGGAGGGCTTGGGCGTCCGTGTAGTAGTTCATGTTGATCGTCGCCGAGAGCGAGTCGTCGGGCAAATTTCGCAAGAACTCGCGCACCAATATGGTCTTGCCCGTGCCCGCGGACCCGACGAACATGACTGGCCGCCGCCGCTCCACCAACGCCTTCGTGAGCGTCGTCAGGGACACGAGGTCCGCGGTCGGCACGACGATGGACGAGAACTGGACGACGCCCACGGGCTCGTAGGTCGGCACCTTCTCGGCCCACTCCGCGAGCTCGCCCGTCGACGGGTCGACGTAGTACTCGAAGACGAGGCCCCCCTCGGGGAACTTGAGCGCCTTGAAGGTCTGGCGCCACGCGTCCGAGAAGGACCGCCGCGAGTCGACGGTCTTGTCCGCGGCCGCGACGCCGCCAAAGACCCAGACCGACGCGTACAAGAACAGGCGCTCGATGCGCTCCTGGTCCTTGGCCGCGTCGGGCACCTGGGCCAGGAGCCCCTCGAGCAGGTAGCAGAGCGACGTGACGCGCGAGATCGTCATGACCGGCGTGAGCGTCTCGACCTTGCGCTCCTTGAGGAGGTCGATCATCTGGGGCACGTACTTGTCGAAGAGGCCCGGCATGGTCGCGAGCTCCGTCTCGTGGGTCCGGTCGTGGATCCAGGACTCGGCGAAGGGCAGCCAGCCGATGTCGAGCTCGTTGACGTAGAGGATGCCCGCGCGCGACACCGTCGCGGGCGTCGCGTTCTTGAGCGAGTGGATCTCGAAGACCATGCGCATGCTCTCCGTGAGCGGGATGCGCTCGTTGGACACGAGTGTGAGCACCTTGTTGTCGTCCATGACCGTGTTCATGGACTCGATCCAGACCGCGTCGATGTCGCCGTCGAGCACGACCCACTTGTACGTCTGGTGCGCCGCGTACGGCGACCACTCCTTGCACATGTTGCGCATGACGATGGACAGGCAGCCGTCCTTCCAGTCCTTGGACAGGGTCATGTAGCCGTAGAGCTCGTCGGACGTGACGGCCTTGGGGTTGATGGCCTCGTAGACGCAGACGGCCTTGGGCTTGTCGACATTGTGGCAGCCCGCGAGCGTCTTGTAGATCGTCGTCTTCCCCGCGCCCGCCGGGCCCAAAATCATGACGGAGTGGCGCACGTCCAGGAGCTCCTGGAACTGGACGACCTTGGAGATGAAGATGTCCTCGCCCTGGAGGCCCTCCTTGGCGCAGACGCGCGACGCGAGCGCCTGCAGGTCCTCGTTGACCTTCGTCGGCAGGTCCAGGCCCGGGAAGAGGTCGCTGATGAGCCGCAGGAAGATGGGGATGTCGATGGCGGGGATCTTCGGCGTGTTGAAGTCGCGCAGCGCGCGCATGAGGATCGCCTCCTCGTTGACCTCGGGCTCCGCGCGCTTGAGCTTGCCCGCGACGCGGAGCACGGACTTGACGGCCCGCAGACCCCAGTCGTAGTGGGCCTGCTTCGACAGCAGTTCGGAACTGAGCTTGTAGAGCGTGACGAACTTGGCCGCCAGCGGCCGCGCCTTGATGAAGCCCTCGGCCATGAGCATGTTCTCGCAGATGGGCCGCAGGTCGGGCCGGATCATCGCGCAGGACCGGAACGACGCCTTCAGATTCTCCGGCAGCTCCGTGCGGCCCGCGTAGCCCGGGTTCATCGTGATGAAGAAGCCGCAGCAGGGGATGAGGCTGATCTTCTCGCCGAAGAACTCGAACTCGCCGACCTTGACCGGCGGCGTGCCCGCCGGGAGCGCGGAGTAGGGCGCCTCGCGGCGGGCCGGGTCGCTGAGGCGCACGGCGGCGTCGAGCACGGTCTTCACCTGGGTCGCGACGACGGAGAGCACCTCGATGGGGATGCGGTTGAACTCGTCGAAGCACCCCCACGCGCCCGCCTGGCTCAGCCCGCGGAAGATGTCCGCCATCGTCTGGTAGTTCATCTGGTCCGAACCTAGGAGCGCATCATCATCGTTCGCACGCTCAAAAAGAAACGGACGCGGGCCTGCTCACAGTTGAAGACGTAGCAGGGCAGGCCGAGGCCGCGCGCCAAATCCTTCGTCGTCTCCGTCTTGCCCGTGCCCGCGGGCCCCGCGGGCGCGCCGCCGAGGAAGAGGCGCAGCGCCGTCGTCAGCGTCACGTAGCAGCGGTCCGTCAGCGGCGTGATCACTAAGCGCCCGCAGTTGCCCACGTACTCGAAGGAGTACACGGACCGGAAGTCGCAGATCCGGATCTCGACCTCGCGCTCCTCCGCGACCCAGTAGAAGCGCAGCTGGCTCGACCACAGGAAGTCCTGGGCGGACTCGACGCGCTTCGTGATTAGCGACGCGACGATGTCGCGGCTGTGGACGTCGATGGTGATGAGCGTGATGATCTTCGCGCGGAGCCCCCGCTCGAGCTTGCCCTGGACCTGCGAGATGAGGTTCTCGAGGCGGCTCTTGCAGACCTCGAGGTACTTCTTCACGGCGTCGTCCGTGCCGTTCTCCAGGTCGTCGAGCGCCGTCTCCGTCTCCTCGGTCCAGACGATCTGGGACGTCACGAGCGCGATCTGCGCCGCGTAGTTCGCGACCCACTCCTCCCGCGGCCGCTCCGTGTCCCAGTTCGACGCGTCCGTCAGCGAGTTGTCCAGCGACCCGCGGAGCGTGTCGCGCATGAAGGTCGTCAGGTCGTTGAGCCACTGCTCGACGGCGCCCTGCATGGCGAAGGGCTCCGCCTCGAAGGGCACGGTCTCGCCGTCCTTCGACTTCATCGCGTTCGCGAGCGTCGGCGTCGCGGCCTTCTTGCCCGACCCCAGGCTCAGGGAATCCTCGAGCTCGACCTCGTCCTCCTCCTCGACCTTGGCCGTCTCCACGAAGACGAGATGGTCGATGCCGTCGAAGACCGCGCCGATGTGGGGCATGATCTTCGTCGGGTTGTTCGAGTTCGACAAAATGTCCAACAGCGCCATGTTCGACACGAAGAAGAAGCGGGGAAAAATGTTCTTCTTCATGTCGAGGTACTCGCTCAGCGCCTTCTGGCAGATCTCCAGTTCCTTGTTCATCGTGTTGAGCGAGATCTCGCGGCCCTCGGCGGAGCAGCACGCGACGACGCCCTTGCGCGCGGCGATGTCGCGCATGAGCTCCTTGAACTCCAAATCGATGCCCTCGAAGCGCTTCGTGTCGTCGGGGAGCTGGGCGCGGATGTCGTGCGACGCGAGGAAGATGGCCTCGAGCGACGACCAGGACCGCTGGACGCTCAGGAGCACCTTCATGACGACCTCGATGTTGCCGAGCGTGCCCTGCCACGCCGTGAGCTCCGCGCGGAAGAAGTCGACGGCGCGGCCCATGGCCGCCATGGACTGGAGCTGGATGTGGTGCTCGTCGAGCGTCTCCAACAGGTCGTCGGGCGACACGATGATCATGACCTCCGTGTCGCGGTGCCGCGCCATCTCGAAGTTCGCCTCCGACCACGACCGCTCGATGGCGCCGAGTTTTGCTTCCACTTTATTCTCCTTGTTCGCCGTCTCCACGACCTCCATGATGCCGTCCACGTGCCGGTGGAGCTCCAGGGCCAGCAAGTCCGACAGGGAAAACGTCGGGCCCTTGTCGAGCGGCCGCGACGTCACGGACGCCACAGCCTTCCAGTGGCGGTCGCGCATCGCCGGCGAGTGGAGCTCCGCGACGAGCGGCAGCACCGTCGACATGTTCGTGCACGACGCCAGTAGTTGCAGGTAGCAGGGCCAGTCGCGCAGCCGCCGCGGGAGCCGCTTCACCTGGTTCAGCAGGCGCTTCGTCTCGTCCAGCAGGTCGTCGGTCTGGATGTCCAGCCACAGCGTCTGCTTCCAGGAGGAGAAGAGCGACTCGACGACGGCGACCGTGTCCCAGACCTGCTTGAGGAAGCCGAGCTCCATGCGCATCTCCGCCAATTGCGGCGCGCGGATCTTGTTCAGTTCGAACAGTTCCTGCAGGTTCGCGAAGGACTCGGCCTCCGTCTCCATGACCATGAGCTCCTTCTGCGTCGCGTCCATGACCTTGTAGGCCGACATGGCCTTGTCCGCGGGCCACGTGAACGGGCCCTCGGCCTCGCGGAACTTCTTGTGCGCGACGCGCACGCGCTCCACGTAGTCGGCGATGTCGCGCTTGATCGTGTCGACCATGGCGTTCTGCAGCGGCTGGATGCTCTCCTTGACGCGGAACGTCTTGTTGACGACGTTGTCCCACTGGAGCGGCGCGCGCTCGAGGAAGTCGAGCGCGTCGTCCGCGCCGACCTTGCCCAGGTCCAGCGTGATGCCGTGCGTCTTCAGCAATAACACCATCTCCCGCAGCGGCACGAAGGTGTCGTCCATGGTCGGCATGCGCTTGCGGACGTCGCGGATGTGCGTCATGACGGACATGAGCGTCGCCTTGTCGCCCTCCTCGACGACCTGGTCGAGGCCCCGGTCGATCTCCGACATGAACGCGTGGAGCTCGTTGAGCTTCTCCATGATGCGGGACTGGAGGTAGTTCGTGAACATGTACATCCACTTCGTGACCCACGTGCCGAGCGCCTGCTTGATGGGCTGCGCGATGATCCGCAGGAAGTCGATCTCGTGGAGGGGCTTGAGCTCGGCGATCTCCGCCTGGACCTCGAGGTAGAGCTTGATCTTCTCCTCGAACAGATCCAAATTCAGCCGGTCGCCCTCGTCGACGGCCGCGACGCCCGTGTCGTCGTCGTCCTCCTCGCCCTCGACGGCCTCCTTCTTCGCCTCGACCTCGACGATGGCCGTCTCCAGGAACTCGGCGAACATGACCTGGAGGTCCGTCGTCCACAGGTACTCGTACCGCAGAAAGTGCTGCCGGAGCCGCTCGACCTTGGCCTCCGTGTGGTTCAGCCGGCCCTCGATCGTCGCGAGGTACCACGTCACCTCGAGGTCGTCCTGGAGCTCGCGCAGGTAGTGGCCCTCGCCCGTGTCCAAACGCTTGAAGATGCAGGCGACGCTCGAGAAGTTGTCCATCCAGTTCCTAAAAATGTTCCGCAGGCCGCGCTGGTCCGCCTCGCGGCGGCCCGCTTCGTTGAAGCCGATCTCCGGCAGGTAGCGCACGCCCTGGTCCACGAGGTCGAGCTCGATCTCGAGCATGGGGCCCGGGTTGTGCTTGGCGAGGTAGACGGGGTCGAGCTGGTTCTCGAGGACGACGCACGACACGACGACGACGCGCTTGAGGCCGCCGACGACGATGTTGTTCACGAAGTCGACGTAGGCCTTCCAGTCCGGCAGGCCCTGGCTCACCTTGAGCTTGCGGTTCGTGTCCCGCAGCAGCTTGTGGATCTCGCCGCCGCCCTCGCGGATGTGGCCGTAGCGCTGCGTGAGCGTCACCTTTTGGAGCTGCTCAAAGTCCGCGACCGTCGCCTGGGCAGCAAAAGGGTGATTCAAGGTCGCTTCAACTTGAGTGTTCCGCGCGCGTGCGTTCCGGAAAAAGCGTCCACGCTTCGAGACCGTTCCAAGAGATGATCGCTCGTCCAAAGATCAGCCGAAACGAGTGGAAAACGGCCGAGAAAGGAGCCTTTGAAGTTGGGAATTTCGCACCCTTTTGCTGCCCTGACCGTCGCGGCCTTGCCGCTCCGCTTGAGCAGGGGCTGGCTGGACCAGCCGTCCATGAGCTCCTCGACGCGGTGCAGGTTCGCCTTCATGACCGTCATCGTGCCCTTCATCTCGTTGACCTCGGACATGGCCTCGTTGATGTAGAGGTCGATGTTGCTGCTCTTCCAGTTGAGCGCCTTCTTGACGACGGCCTGCGACGCGCGGCGGTCGCCGCCGCCCGTCTTGCCGATGCCCTGGGCCAACAGCTTGTCGATCTTGTCGAGCTGGTTCTTGAGCAGGGGCCGCTCCACGGGGAGCAGCGACGTCTGCATCCAGTTGTAGACGTTGACGATCAAATCGAGGTTGCCCATGTGGCGCCGGAAGACCTCGCTGTGGCGGTAGATCTCGAGCGCCGAGCCCGGCGCCGTGAAGCCCAGGAGCAGAAAGTACTTGACCTCCCGCAACAGGCGCACGAGGAGCGGGTCGAAGTTCACGTAGAGGAGGCCCGGCCCCGGCGTGCCGTCCGGCGGCGCCTCGAGCCGCAGCAGCGGGTTCTTGAGCTTCGCCTGGGAGCTCCGCTCCACGGACCCGCCCCAGGCCTCGATCTGGGACCGCTCGTAGTCGCTCAGCTGGCCCAAAAAGGCCGTGTAGTCCTTGACGACGTCGCGCGCCTCCTCGCGCTCCATGACCTTGCGCTCCAGCCGCTTCAGCTTCTCCATGGGCAGCTGCACGCGCTGGAGCAGGCCCCGGCACCAGGTCAGCGCCCCGGCGATGGGCGGCAGGTTGTGCGCGATGGGCGGCGACTCCCGGAGCTGCATGAACAAATTCTGCATCTGGCGCACGTCCTCGCCGTAGTCGACGACGAGCTCGACGTACTTCTTCTCGAGCTCGTCGGCGATGACGGGCCGCTGCACGAGGGCGTCGAAGGAGTCCAGGAGCTTGAAGCGCCCGGAGATCGTCGGCGCGTCGTCGAAGCCCTGCGTGAGCACGGACGCGAGGCGCCGCTCGAGCTCCTTCACGGCGACGCGAAACTCGTAGAACGCGTCGTCGAACTCCTTCGCCTCGACCTCGAGGAGCCGCTCGTGGCCGTGCTTGCGCACGGCGGACACCGCCGCCGTGAAGTCCACGTGGATCTGGAGCACGGACGTCGTCAGGATCTTGCCCTTGGTCCCGCCGACCTCGATCTTCGCGAGGTTCGAGAACTGCATCGTCGTGCACGTGAGCTCGAGCAGGTCGTGGCTCCGCTCCCAGAACGCGTCGAGGCGCACGAAGACGGCGTTGTTCTGCACGCGCCAGGGGTTCAGCGGGCACTCCGCGTTCGCCTTGTCCTTGTACGCGAGGTAGACCTGCTTGAACTCCGCCAAAACCCGCAGCGTCTCCCGGAGCATGGTCACGGCGTCGCGCGCGTCCTCGCTGTCGATGAGCTCGAAGATGCGGTCGCCGCTCAAAAAGGCCGTCGCCTGGTGCACGAGCGCGTTGCAGATCTCGCGGAGCAGCACGACCAGCCGAGTGGGCGTGTTGTAGTGGCCGCTGCCCTTCCACACGAGCAGGATGATGTGGACGATGGGCGCGAACAGCTCCGGCAGGCTGGAGAACTCCGCCGACGTCTCGAGCTGCTCGACCCAGGGCCGCAGCGGCTCCAGGTACTTGACGTTGTCGTTCGCCTCCGTCCGCGCGTGGAACAGCTCCTTGCACAGCTTCGCGAAGGGCGCGTTGTACGTCGACTGGGCCCGGTCCAGGCACCGCAGGACGCGCCGCACGCGCGTCGACTGGAGCTGGTCGAAGATGGAATTCAGGTTCCGCGCCTTCGCGGTCCAGAAGTCGAGCTCCGCGACGGGCCCCGGGTGCGGCCGGCCCTCGGTGACGAGCGCCGTCTCCGGGTCCTGCTTGAGCACGGCCTTGATCTGCTTCGTCCACGTGATGATCGACGACTCGAGGGCGTGGATGGCGTCCTTGGCCTCGACGACGCTGCCCTCGGGCGACGCGCCCGCGATCGTCGCGCGCGACGCGCCCGCGGGCATGCCCTTCTGCGACTGGACGGCCCAGTCCGGCGGCAGGGGCAGGGACGTCATGCCCTTGACGTGGCCCTGCATGATCTGCACGTTGGCGACGAAGGCGCTCAGGGACTCGTCGACCTCGCGAACCACCAACTCGCTCCAGTCGTTCTTCACGGCCGCGAGCAGCGGGCTGAAGACGGTCATCGCGACCTGCTCCGCGTGCTCGAGGACGCCCACGGAGCACTCGCCGATGACCAGCTGGCTCTCGTAGGCGCTGGCGTCTAACGCCGTCGCCGCCGCGCCTAGTTTCAGGATGTAGAGGAAGCCCGCGTCGTCCTTGCCCTTCTCCTTGTCCGACCGCGCCGCGGGCGGCGCCGCGCTCAGGCGCAGGCCGCCGCGGTTCTCGACGACGTAGAGCGCGCTGGGGCCGCCCTCGTAGGCGTGGACGAAGGCCTCGATGAGCTCCTGGGCCACGGGGTCCTTCCTGAACTTCTCGTAGTTCTCCGGCGTGATGGACCGGAAGCTCGTCGCGATCTGCCGCAGCACGTAGGCGATGCGCGGGTCGCCCTCCTCCTCGCCCTTCTTCTCGTCCCCCGCCATGGCTGCGCCGGCCTCTCCTCTCCTATTCGAGGCCGGGCCGCAGCGGCGGTCGCGCGGGTTCCAGCCGCGCGCGCGCTATCAGCAGCGCTCCAACCCCCGCGGCAACGACGAAGATATAGTTGGCAAGGTGGCCATCTTTTCTATTTCAATCGAGCGCAAATTCTGAACGAGGCAGCCCCGAGGCGCCGACGCCTTCTTCTCCGTCGCTCACGGCTCCGGCGCCATGCCGGACGGCGACGACGAGGTGCGGTTCCTCGAGCTGCTCGCCGCGCGCCTGCGGCGGGGCGTCGAGATCCGGAACCACCAGACCTTCAAGGTGCTGCGCGTGTCCTGCGCCGCCGGCAGCGCCCTCGTGTCCTGGCTCGTGGGCTGCGGCAGCGCCGAGAGCCGCGCCGACGGCGCGGAGCTGTGCCTGCGCCTCGTGCGCCTGAAGTTGATGATCCCCGCGGCGGGCCGCTTCGACGACGGCCGATCCTACGACTCGTTCCGCGACGCGGACGGCTCGTTCTACCGCTTCCGCCAGGACGACCCGGCCGCGGGCGGCCTGCTCGAGTCGGTGACGCTGGAGAAACCGGGCGCCCACGCCTGGGAGTTCGCGCCGCACACGGCGCACAACTCGCTGGCGCTGGACGTCGCGCTCGCGGAGGACCTCGCGCGCGCCGCGGCCGAGGTACGGGCGGCGGCGACGGACCGCGACCGCGACGAGAGGCGGCGCGCGGCGCGCGAGGCGCTGCTGGAGCTGCGGCGGCGCGTGCGCGACGCCCTCGACGGCGACGCGCCGGGCTGGGTCGCCTTCAAGGGCGGCCGGGGCGGCGCGCCCGTCGTGAGCCGGCGGTCGAAGGAGCCGCGCGGCGACTTCTACACGCTCAAGACCGACGGGCGCATCGGCGCGACGCCCGCGGCCTTCGAGGCCGAGTTCCTGGATTTCGAGACGCGGCGCAAGTGGGAGTCGACCTTCGGCGCCGCCGTCGTCGTCGAGGGCCTCGCGGACGCGTTCTCGGGAGGCGGCGCGGCGCCGGAGCGGCCGCGCGCGGCGCCGGCGACGGCGGACGCGGACTGGGCGGCGCTGGACCTCACGGGCCGGCCCGCGGGCATGTCCATCGCCTCGGGCCTCGTCGGCGACGCGGACCTCGACGCGCGGCTCGCGGCCGCGGCCGCGGCCGCGCGCGGCCGCGACGCGTGCGTGCGCTGCGCGTCGCCCTTCGCCGACGCGAACGAGGCGGCGCCCTGCCCCGCCTGCGCCGTCGTCGCCTGCAAGACGTGCCGCGGGCGCCTCGTCTTCGACGTCGACCGCCGGAAGACGATCCGCGTCTGCCGCCACTGCTACGTCGAGAGCCCGCGGATCCGCCACCCGCCCGTCGTCGACGAGGCCACGGGCGCGCCCGCGGCGGACCTGCGCCTGGGCACCTGGTGGAACATGGCCGACGTCGCGCGCGACATCTGCGCGCCGGGCGCCGCGGGCCCCGACGACGGCGGCGGCGGCGACGACGGCGGCGGCGGCGACGCGCCGCCCGCGACGCGCGACGTCGCCGTGCTCCCCGTCGACGGCGGCCTCGAGAGCTCCGGGTCGCCGCCGGGGCGGCGGCCCGTGAGCCCGCCGCCGCCGCCGCCGCCGCCGCCGCCCGGGGGCCTGCCGAGCACGCCGCCGGACCCGCACACGCCGTCCAAGTGGTCGAAGTGCAAGCGGTGCGGCGTCCGCGTCGAGCGCACGGTCGAGGCCATGGAGGCGCACGGCGAGGCCTGCGAGCACAAGTCCGCCGCGTCCGTCGCCCGCGCCGAGGAGGCGGCGCCGACCGAGAAGCTCGGCGGGTTGCGCAGCCCCGGCGACGCGCGCGCGCCGTGCCCGCCTGCGCCGGAAACAACCAGTCTGGCCCGGTCCAGCAAAACGTCAAATCGACGTCGTTTCGGCTGATTTTTGGACGAGCCGTTTTCTCTCGTCAAGTTCTTGACACACAGCGAAAGATTTGTGTCAAAATCGTGTTGACTATTTTTGGTTCCCGCCCAGGTGCCCGCGCGTCGTCTTCCGCACCGCGCGCCTCCCTCGGAGCTCGCTCTTCCGGCCGCGGTCCGTCTGCGCCTTCCAGGACGCCTTCGGCGGCCGCGACGTCGGCGACGGCGCCCACCCGGAAGCGCGCTACGTCTACGAGATCTCCGTGCGCCACGCGCGCGTCCGCGAGGAGCCCGGCCACGTGACCGCGGAGGTCCTGCTCCTCGCGCACCGCGCGGCGCCCGCGGCCGACGACCCGACCTCGAGCGACCTCACGGTCGTGAGCGCCGTCGACTGCGGCCGCGGCAGCTCCGTGCCCGTCTGGGTGCGCCAGCTCGTCACGGGCGAGGACGCGAAATTCGGCGCGCTCGCCGCGTTCGAGAGCCCCGCGCGCGCGGCCGCGCGCGATTTGGACGCGTCGGCGGACCTGCGCGACGACGAGGAGTCGAGCCGCGACGGCGTCAAGGTGAGCCTCGCCGACTTCGAGCTCGTCGCGGTGTTGGGGCGGGGCGGCTTCGGGACGGTGCTCCAGGTCCGCGGCCGGACGGACGGCCGCGTCTACGCGATGAAGGTCTTCAAGAAGGCGGAGCTGCGGAAGCGGCGGCAGATCGAGCGCACGCGCACGGAGCGCCACATCATCCAGCAGGCGGACCACCCCTACATCGTCAAACTGCGCTACGCGTTCCAGACGCCCGCGAAGTTGTACATGGTCATGGACTTTGCGCAGGGCGGCGACTTCTTCAGCTTCCTGCGGCGCTTCCGGCGCCTCGACGAGGCCTGGGCGCGCTTCTATCTGGCGGAGCTCGCGCTCGCGCTCCAGCACCTCCACGACATCGCCGTCGTCTACCGCGACCTCAAGCCGGAGAACGTGCTCATGGACGGCGGCGGCCACGCGATGCTCGCGGATTTCGGGCTGTCGCGCAACTTCGCGCGGCGGAGCCCGCTGCCCCAGGACGCGCCGCGGCGCGCGGCGTCCCAGCGGCCCGCGGCGCCGCCGGGCACGCCGCCGCGCGGCGCGCGCGCGGCGCCGCCGCCGCCGAGCCCGCCGCCGCCGCCGCCGCCGGCGGAGGACGGCGACCTCGCCGACATCGCCCACCCGAGCGCGGGGGCCGCGGCGAGGCGGCGCCAGCAGCAGCAGCTCGGCGAGTGGAAGAACCCGCTCGTCGCGACGCGGTCGTACTGCGGCACGGAGCAGTACATGGCGCCGGAGATGCTCCTCCAGCGCGCGCACACGCGGGCCGTCGACTGGTGGGGGCTGGGTTTGCTGGCCCACGAGATGGTCGCGAGCCGCCACCCGTTCCAGGGCGCGTCGCACGGCGAGACGCTGCGGAACATGGTCCGCGCCGGGGCGGGAAACGGGCGCGCCATTCCCGACTTCAAAGCCGTTTTCCACTCGTTTCGGCTGATTTTTGGACGAGCGATCATCCCTCGGAGCGATCTCGAAGCGTGGATGCTTTCTGTGGAACGCGCGCGCGCGGAACGCTCACGTCGAATCACCCTCTTCCCGCGCAGGTCCGCGCGGAGCCCGACCTCGACCCGCGGCTCACCGACGACTGCGCGGCGCTCATCCGGGGCCTCCTCTGCAAGCACGCGCCGCGGCGCCTGGGCACGAAGCGCGGCGCCGTCGAGCTCGCGCGCGACCCCTTCTTCAAGCACCGCGTCGACTGGGCGCGCGTCGCGCGCCGGGAGGCCGAGCCGCCGTACCGGCCCAACTGCGCGTCCGACGCGGACGTGGGCCACTTCGACGCCGAGTTCACGGACGAGGCGCCGCGCGACTCGGACTACAAGCCGCGGCCGGGCGCCGGCGACGGCCGGGGACGCAACCGCGACTACTTCTTCGACCTCTTCACGCTGAACTTCTCCAAGCGCGGCGCGGCCGCGCCGCGCGACGCGTCCCACTGCGGCGAGTTCGCCGGCTTCTCCTACAACCCGAGCCACCTCGACACCTAGGGCGCGTAATTTCGGTTTTATGGGCGGGCTTGTACGCGTCGCGTGGGTCGTCGGGTCGTGCCCGGCCTCGGCGTCGCCGCGTTCCCCTCCGCGCCGCGGTCTGGTGCCTCGCGTTCTTGAACGCCAAGCCCGCCGGGCGCGAGGACGACGACGCCGCCGAGGGGTGCATGGAGAACGACGTGAACGCGATGCCCTAGGGGTGGGCTTAGCGGGGTAAGATTTTGAGCGATTTTGCCTTTGCGAGCTCAGTGGACCGTGTGGCGACGCCCCCGATCAAGCACGCGCGCCGAAGTCATGTCGTGGCAGGAGAAGAAGTTGGAGTATGAGAATCGCATGGCCCGAGCGAAGGGCAAAAAACTCGACACTCTCAAGACCTGCACGATCTGCGGCGCCGACAAAGCCAAGGCCTGTCAAGGGTGCGGCACGACGGCCTACTGTTCGACGGACTGCCAACGCATCGACTGGCGCGACCGGGGCCACCGGAAGGTCTGCAAGAAGATCCAGGCCGCGGAGGCCGCGCGGGCGGAAGCGCCGACGCCCCCGCCGTCGCCGCCGCGGGACGTGTTCTACGGCCCCGCGCCGCGGTCGGACGCCGACGTAATCCGCGCGCGCATCGCGGCGGAACACGAGGCGGCCCGCGTGCGGCGCGAGGCGAACCCGGAGCAGGAGCCGCTCTCGGCGCGGTGGGGCTCGCGGTGCCCGATCTGTCTCGAGGACTGGGACGTGAATTCTCCGGGCGTGTTTCGCGTCTGTTGCTGCCGAAAGGTCTGCCAATCGTGCCGGGGCAAGATCGGCTCCGACGCGTGTCCCCTCTGTCGCTTACCGCCCGCAGAGAATGATGCGGAAGACCTCGCACGTCTGCGCCGCCATGTGGAGAACGAGGTGCCGGAAGCAATTACGTGTTTGGGAAACGCGTACCGCCGCGGTCTCTACGGCCTCGTGAAATCCGATAAGAAAGCCGCAAAAATTTGGAAGCGCGCAGTGGAGCTCGGAGACGTGGTGGCGATGACAAACCTTGGGACATTGTACCAGAAGGGGTTGGGCGTCAAGCTGGACAAGAAGAAGGCGGCGCGGCTGTTTCGCATGGGCGCAGATCGGGGCGACGCGATCGCGCAAAACAATTTAGGGGCTTCTCTTCATTCTGAGAAGAAATTTGAAGAGGCGGTCCGGTACTTTGTGCTCGCGGCGAATCAAGGCTATACCTCTGGAGAGGGTTGCCTTGGCGTTTGTTACAGGGACGGACAAGGCACGGAAGTCGACCTCGGCAAAGCCAGATACTGGTTCGAGCGCGCCGCTGCCAAGGGCGACGAGGATGCTATAGCGTGCCTCGCGCGCCTCGACCGCACCAGTATAGTCTAAATCTTTACGCCGCGTCGTCGCCCGAGCCCGAGATGCTGCGCTTGCGCGCGGGCGAGTCGTGCTCGGCCTTGGCGTCGTCGCCGCGGCGTTCCTCTCCGCGCCGACCTTCGCGGTCTGGTGCCTGGCGCTCTTGAACGCCAAGCCCGCCCGGCGCAAGGCCGACGACGACGCCGAGGGGTGCATGGAGAACGACGTGAGCGCGATGCTCTAGGGGTGGGCTTAGGCCTGGGGTAAGATTTTGAGCGATTTTGCCTTTGCGAGCTCAGTGGACCGTGTGGCGACGCCCCCGATCAAGCACGCGCGCCGAAGTCATGTCGTGGCGGGAGAAGAAGTTGGAGTATGAGAATCGCATGGCCCGAGCGAGGGGCAAAAAACTCGACACCCTCAAGACCTGCACGATCTGCGGCGCCGACAAGGCCAAGGCCTGCCTAGGTTGCGGCACAACGGCCTACTGTTCGACGGACTGCCAACGCATCGACTGGCGCGACCGGGGCCACCGGAAGGTCTGCAAGAAGATCCAGGCCGCGGAAGCGGCCCGGGCGGAAGCGCCGACGCCCCCGCCGTCGCCGCCGCGCGAGGTGTTCTACGGCCCCGCGCCGCGGTCGCACGCCGACGAGGTCCGCGCGCGCATCGCCGCGGAACACGAGGCGGCCCGCGCTCGGCGGGAGGCGAACCCGGAGCCCGAGCCGATGTCGGCGCGGTACGGGTCGCGGTGCCCGATCTGCCTTGAGGAGTGGGACGTGAATGCGACCAGCGCGATTCGCGTCTGTTGCTGCCGGAGGGTCTGCAAGTCGTGCGACAACAAGATCAAAATCGCGTGTCCCCTTTGTCGTGTACCGCTCGCGAAGAATGATGCGGAAGACCTCGCGCGTCTTCGCCGCCATGTGGAGAACGAGGTGCCGGAAGCGATTGCGTTTTTGGGAAGTGTGTACCACGTCGGTTACTACGGTCTCGTGAAATCCGATAAGAAAGCCGCGAAGATTTACCGGCGCGCCGTGGAGCTCGGGGACGTGGAAGCAGTGAGACACCTTGCGGAATTGTACGAGGATGGAAGTGGTGTTAAGTTGGACAAAAAGAAGGCGGAGCAGCTGTATCGTGCGGCCGCGGACCGGGGCGACGCGGTCGCGCAAAACAATCTAGGGCTTTTTCTTGATTCTGAGGAGAAATTTGAAGAAGCGTTCCGGTACTTTGTGCTCGCGGCGAATCAAGGCTATACCTCTGGAGAGACCAACCTTGGCTGCTGTTGCAGGGACGGAGACGGCACGGAAGTCGACCTCGGCAAAGCCAGATACTGGTTCGAGCGCGCCGCTGCCAAGGGCCACGAGGATGCTATAGCGTGCCTCGCGCGCCTCGACCGCACCAGTATAGCCTAAGTCTTTACGCCGCGTCGTCGCCCGAGCCCGAGATGCTGCGCTTGCGCGCGGGCGAGTCGTGCTCGGCCTTGGCGTCGTCGCCGCGGCGTTCCTCTCCGCGCCGACCTTCGCGGTCTGGTGCCTGGCGCTCTTGAACGCCAAGCTCGCCCGGCGCAAGGCCGACGACGACGCCGAGGGGTGCATGGAGAACGACGTGAGCGCGATGCTCTAGGGGTGGCCTTGGCCCGGTCAGGTTTTGAGCGATTTTGCCTTCGCGAGGCGAGTCGGCTCCCGATCACAAGGACGCGCGCTGAAGTCATGTCGTGGCGGGAGAAGAAGTTGGAGTATGAGAATCGCATGGCCCGAGCGAGGGGCAAAAAACTCGACACCCTCAAGACCTGCACGATCTGCGGCGCCGACAAAGCCAAGGTCTGTCAAGGGTGCGGCACGACGGCCTACTGTTCGACGGACTGCCAACGCATCGACTGGCGCGACCGGGGCCACCGGAAGGTCTGCAAGAAGATCCAGGCCGCGGAGGCGGCCCGGGCGGAAGCGCCGACGCCCCCGCCGTCGCCACCGCGCGAGGTGTTCTACGGCCCCGCGCCTCGGTCGCACGCCGACGAGATCCGCGCGCGCATCGCGGCGGAACACGAAGCCGCCCGCGTGCGGCGCGAGGCGAACCCGGAGCGGGAGCCGCTCTCTGCGCGGTTTGGGTCGCGGTGCCCGATCTGTCTCGAGGAGTGGGACGTGAATGATGCGGGCGTGTTTCGCACCTGTTGCTGCCGGAGGGTCTGCGAGTCGTGCAGTGTCAAGATCGGCTACGGCGCGTGTCCCCTCAGTAAAGTGCCGTGCGC